TAATGGAATCGGGTGGTCAGGCTCGCTGACTTGGTTGACGCATGTCATCGTACCCAAATTGCGTGAATGATGCTCATAACGTCAATCAATGGATTGTCTGGTCCAGACCCGATTATTTACAGACCGCCGTCATATAGCTGGAATATTGCTGAGTGCGGCTTTGAGCAACAAAAAAAACAAATATAATTGAGACTGGTTGTTCTTTGACGATTTGTATTTAGTGGTCAGTGATACATTTCTGGCAACACGCGTCAGTCTATTATATGACTGATTTCAGTTGGTAACGTATCTAATTTTAGGGCCAAATCCAGTTTTCAGGTCAGTTTGGAAAAGTACACAATGTCCTGAAGGTAGATTGTGGCTGCTAAACATATTACCGGTACAATTGACCGGCGGATCACGTTCATCCTGAAGACAGATTGAACTCTACAGAGGCTCAGCAAGAGACAGAAAACCTAAATCTAAAACCAATAATACCCAATCACTGACATTCCATCAGTTGATGAGATGTCTCCATCTGGTGTGAGAAAAATAACCAAATCTTTCTATCTTCGGAACAACTTATGTTCCCACTGTAGGCAACTACAACGCAATCCGCGATCCTTTAAAAATACACAAATAGTTAATTTGGTTTAGTCTGTATGGATATAGTAATATACAAAAGGGAGAGGTTGGTGTATAAATAGCTATACTGAACAACAAAAGTTCCTGTGACATTGAATAAGATTTAATGCAAATTTACGTTTTTTACCAAATCTGAAACAATTTCGGTTTGCAACAGATAAGACTCCTGTAAGTGTTGATGGTTTAATTTGCCATACTGACTTCAGAAAATGCGTGATTTCATAAAAAACAAACATGAACATGCCAAAATGTCAATTTACAAAATTAATCAATAGCGCGTGTGTCCACCTCTGGTTGCGATGCAAGCAACACATCTTCGTTTCATGGAATGGACCAGGTGTCGCAAAAAGTCCTGTGGGATATCTGTATGTATGTTTCGAAGTTCCTGGAGTGTCTGTGGAACACTTGGTTGACGTTAAAGGCTCCGATCCATCTCATCCCACATGTGCTCGATTGGTGAGAGATCAGGGGAGCGAGCCGGCCAGGGGATGACATTCACGTTGTTGTGTTGAAGAGAATCCTGAACAAGTCGAGCAATAGGAGGCCGGGCGTTGTCATGTTGAAAGGTAATGCCTGAGCCATGACTACGCAAAAACGGCAGAACAACAGGACCGATGATCTCGTCGCGGTAGCGCTGTCCAGTGAGATTTCCCTCTACCATTATCAAACGGGTCCTCTGTCTTGCTGTAATCCCATCCCACACCATAACGCTGCCGCCCCCGAACCTATCTTCTTCCATGTCCACAATGATTGACGTAACGTTCACCTCGACTTCGGTACACTCGAATCCGCCCATCGCTGTGGCTGAATAGAACTTGTCCCCACTGCATGGCCGTCCAGCTTAGACGCTGTCTGCACCACTGTAGACGTGCTTGACGGTGGTTTCCTGTCAAAATGGGACGTCTGGTGGATCTTCTGGCGACAATCCCTGCACATCTGAGGCGGCGACGTACGGTTTGTGAAGATATTCGTCGAAGGCCAGGAATGCTTCTTGCAGTCACTGTTGCTGGCTGGAATCGATTTCGTAGGTGTGTTGTTCGAATCCAGTTGTCTTGTCGATTATTGGTTACGCGTGGCCTGCCACTCCGAGGATGGTCTCTGACTGCATTCGTCTGTTGCCAACGTTGCCATAAACACCAAATGGTGTTTCTGTGGACGTTAAGTTATCTTGCAACATCACATTGACTCGATCCTGCTTCAAGCTTACCAATGGCTCGCAGACGCTCATTTTCGGACAGGCGTGGCATTTCGTAATGTTGAACAATTGCGTAAATTTGTTGTTTTTCTGAGTGGTTGTTTTGGGGTTTTTTTAAATCTTTTTTTTTATTATTCCATTTCATGTATATTGTTACAAGTGTAGGTAATAACATGTGTATATATGACAGTATTAACACAAGTTATAATTTTCATAGGTGAGGACAGGCAGAGTGTGTAGGATATGTCGTTATTGAGGTTCTTCTCAAACTGAGAGAGAGATTATAAATAATTGTTTACAAGAAATAGATGATTACTAATTAACAGGTAATATGTTTCAACTGCTTCATTAGATTATGAGATGTGAGTTTTGCCATTTCTGAGCATATTGGTTAAATTGATTTTTTTTTTTTAGCGATATACCTTTCCAAACAAATTGTGTCTTTCAGTAGTGAAAGAAATTGTTCGAAAGATAAATCTTGTTGTTTTATGTTTGATATGTAGATGCATCTCTTTGCTAGTATAATAATATGATTTGCTTCATGGTTTTGAGTGGAAATTCCAAAAAAGATATTAAGTTTCGAAAGAATGAAATTTGTTTGCAGGTTGTTATTTAGGAAGTTTTCAACTTTAAACCAAAATTGTTGAACAGATTGGCAATCGAAATATAAATGAGACATATCTTTAGAAGCAGTTTTACTGAGGTTTTTCTGAGTGGTTGTTGTCAGCACAATGCTAAACAATGGATATGGAATCCCGTTAACGCACATGTTTTTATACCCATTCTTGGTAGCGAAATGCATGGGTCTTGCATAAAAGTCAACTTTTGCACGGAATGCATGCTTTTCTGTAGCAGTTGCGTTTTTGCGACGTGATTCCATACATGTACTACAATATTGAAAACCAAACTTTACTTGTTTGAAAAATACACTAAAATATTGGTGTTACATAAACTTTTGTTGAGCATATACATCAATATATTGATGGTATACCTTTTGTTCTCGCTCTAATCGCCCCATCCGTAATGTAGTGGAGAGAGCGTCTGCCGGATGAACGGAAGGTCGGTGGTTCTATACTTGGCGTCGCCATACCAAAAGACGTTGAAAGATGATACTTGCTGTTACCCTGTCTGGCGCTCGGAATTAAGGGATGGGACTGGTGGGCACGGAGTCAGTGTAATGTGCAATGTTAAACTGCGGCATGGTATCTCGGCTAGAACAATGAAACCGGCACAAAGGACAAGCAGGCACAAAATCACAACACATGCATGCACTTCGCTGTATGAGACCAATAATCATGAACGCGACGTTAAACCCCATTTCACTTCACCGCTCATTGGCATCAATATGACTTTAAATTGACTTGTTATATTTACGGTCAGGCGCCCACTTCCGGTCAAGGTCTAGACGGCATTATTAGTCGTGCGTGAAACAAACGATCTCTGTTTAGTTCCGGTCACAATTAACTGTTGATTTGACATAAATAATATACAAATTGACGTTTGAGTGAACGGAAGAAGACTTGCGAGTATGCCCATTGTCTCGAGCCCAGTTAACTCCGAGTCGTCACGGGACAGGAACCGTCTCTAACTTAGATTGATTTTCTCAGACGCAATTCTAAATTTTCTTTCAAATTAAACACATTTTAGAAATGTAATTGAAAGTTGATTTTCTTATGTCAACAGAGACGACGCACTGGTTTGGTTGAAGTCGAAATCAATAGATTGGATTTAATTTACGACCAAGTCATGTAACTTTAATTTGATTTGCAATTTCCTGGTAACGATTGTGGTAGGTGGGGAAGGAATGTCATTATACTTGACTATCGGTATCTAAAAATATGGTCCTTGTTTAAAATTGCGATATAACTGGTGTTTAGCATATTCAGAATATTGTGCTTTTTTCGAGTACACGGGGGGCATAGGTGGCCCGGTCGTCTAAGGCGCTACAATTCGCTGTGCAGAGTTGCGTCCCTTGGACACGCCAGACACCTATGATTGTGGGCTCGAATCCGGTTCGCCCCGATTATGTTTCTAGGTTTGTCTGCACCATACCCGTGATCGTGGGCTTTTTTTGAAGTGATGAACGTCTAAGACCTGCATCACTTCGAGCTTTCCTCCCACATTAAGTTGTCACGCCGTGATATCAATGGAATACTGTTAAAAGCGGCGTTAAACACAACTCATGTACGCACTCACTCACTATCCATGTACACTACAGCATGGTATCTCAGTGAGCTAGCACTATGAAATCGTCCGCATTGGTCCGGACAAGTACAAGCAGCCACACACACACGTACATGCCCGTCAACATATAAGTGCAATAATTATGAACGACGTTAAACTCCATGTAAACACACCTCACCTTTCTCCACTCCTCCCGGACCGCCTCCGTGGTCTAGTGGTAGAGCGTCCGCCAGGAGAGCGGAAGGTCCGGGGTTCAATCCCCGGCCGTTTCATACCAAAAGATGGTACTTGTTGTTACCCTGTCTGGCGCTCGGCATTAAGGGGCTAAAACATGGACTAGTCGGCTCGGAGTCAGTACACTGTGTCTGAGTGGGGTATTCATGTTAAACTGCGGCATGGTATCTCAGTGTGCTAGCACTATAAATCGGCATCAGTCCGGACTAGCACAAGCAGCCACACACACACACACACACACACACACTCACACACACACACACACACACAAACACACGTACACGTGCATGCACGTCGCTATATAAGTGCAATAATCTTTGACGCGATGTTAAACCCAATTTCACCTCACCACTTCTTCCGGATGTGAAAAGTTACCAGCAACTTGGAATCTGGTGGTCAGGCTCGCTGACTTGGTTGATTGCACGTCATCGTTTCCCGGCAGTGTGGATCATTAAATTAAATTACACCGTCGTAAAAAGTATTCTCATCTCTCGGTCTCAAACAAACGCTTTCTCTGAAATGCAAGGTTTCCGGGAATGTGCACATTAATATGTTTGTCGACACTTAACGTTGTACCTACCTGACCTTTTTTTGGCACATTTATCCGTAAATGATCCTAAATGATACAATTTTTATCCTTTGGCTTAACCTGACGAGAAACTTACCCATTATGTGATAAAACTTGCTATTACCGCTATTGATTCGGGCCTTGTCGCCTCATATACTGGATACGGTAGCTGTAATCAACAAGATAACGATGTCATGAAAGTTACACTTTAATAATGATATGGATAGCAACAACGACGATGTATTAACAAGTGAGAGCTACTTAAGCAAAATCCAAGAGAAACTAAAAAAACCATAGTCACAAAAATGAGCCTCGTCATAGCACCAATAGTTGAAGTAGCAACAATAAGATGACGTCATCAAAGAGATGAAGCAGAACACACCGATGGACCATATTTGCTCATGAGAAAGAATTTTGAATATTTCCTTCGCCAAATCCATTTATAAACGTTGAGAGTTCACTCAGATACAAGTTGACTTTCGTTACAATGTCCCCAGTGCTGAAATATTGTGCATTGTATTCCACACTACTGTGTTAGCTTACACAACCTTCGTGTTTGTTTGAGCTGCATTCAAATGTTCTGGGAATGTTACAGCAGATTGTACTTCAGTGGGTGATAGTTCCGAGACCTTCACCCAATGATGTACCTCCCTCCGTTCAACACCAAGAACTGACGAGCACCAAACGGCCTGAAGTTTCTTGATTTAGAGTTCCCGCTTCTCTGATCATAGACATAATCCGGTGATCTTTTTGAACTTCCTTCCGGGGCGTAGTTCTCAACAAAGTACTGCCATCCATCCGCAAGACGATCCATCACGTTCTGCACAGCCTCTTCTTCAACTTCATCTGTTTCTTCTGGTTCGTACATTGCGCTCTTCTTCCCTCTTAGCAACGCCATCAGGTTGCTTGGATACGCCCAGCGATCATTACTAGGCGTGGGCTCATCCGACCAACTTCGCTTGGCACCACGAAGTATTGCCATCAAGTTGCTGGGATACCGCCATCTCTGGTTGTCGTATCTGGTGGGCGTGTAGGAGCCGTAGTAATAACTAGGCCTCTTCTCCGACTCTGCCCATCTTTTGGAACGCGTGGGCCTGGTTTTTGTGGTGCCAGTATTATGGTGAAAATCCCATCCTTTAACAAATTTGTCAATGACTTCTCGCAGTCTGGTTTCATCTGATAGTTTGTCATATGACGCCGTCTCTGCGTCCTGTTTGTCTCCGTTGGAATGTTCCGTCCCCTGAACTGAAGCTAAATCTTGCTTGGATTCGTCACCATTTTCAGTCTGCAAAGAAACAAAGAATAGGAAATGTAAGTGTATAATTAAAAGTCCTATACAGTGCAACCTCGTTAGTCCGGTCCCTGTTAATCCGGGATGCCCACTCCTGGGTTTACTGCTTGGAACGCTTGCATGTTTTGTTTGAAGCTTAAACCTTTGCCTTTGTGGTCAAACGAGACTTTACATTTAAACTAACAACAAAAAAATCATTTGAAAATGAATAGTTTGAGAAAGGGTTGTAATATATCTTATTCTTATTATATCTCATTCAACTAATATAATATCTGTAAATATAAACATGGAAATAATTCTAAAACACACAAAACATGGAATCTGTTATTTTAGCTTACGAAAGAACGTCAGTGTTAGATCACAAACTTGCTCAGTGATATCGTTACTTTACGTGCCCGGGATCCAATATCTATTATTTCGCCGGCAGCATTTCCCTGCCTACGTTTTTCATTATCTACAGTATTCATTTCCCTGCTAACAGACGACAAGGAAGTATTAATCCATTTTTACCACGTAAAGGTGAGATATTTTACGTCCTAAAATGTCAACAACATAAAAGCACGCCGCTAATGGAATGCCAAATGGCACACTTTTTATTATGCTTTTGTTTTAGACCCCGGTTCATATTTCCACAGACTTCATTAATCTTAGCACGAAAGGAAGACACGGTCACCCCATCATTACTGGTGTTCATTCCGCAGGGTTTTCGATATACATTCTGAAATTATTTCGCTAGAGGTATTTTGTAATCTTTCAATGTTGATTATGTCCCCTTTCGTCTTCATCGCACTTTGGAGATTGAAACTTTATCAATGACGCTTTATCACCAACAAAACTTATCCCAGAACGAGCTTGAAAAGATATAATTTTGCTGCAAAAATATCAAGTCTCCATACAAAATCCCAGGTGCATTTAATTTTTATTTTTGATTCAACGCGTCAGCGGTTCGTGTCTGGATACATTTGACTGAATCCTTCGAGTGTCGTTACAATTCCAGAACACCGGTGAAAGAATGACGTTTTTCAACATCTGCCGTCATGTTATATCACTTTTCCTGTTGTTTCTTCTTTATTGAAATGGGTGAATATTTTATCCGCTCTTTGCAATTAGCGAAACAAAATGACGTGCGACATTATCAATTGACTGCACGCGCTGTACCCACGTATTTTCCTAGTGAGGAGGGGGGGCACGGGTGGCCCAGTCGTCTAAGGCGCCGCGATTCGCTGTGCAGAGTTGTGTCCCTTGGGCACGCCAGAAACCTATGATTTGGGGTTCGAATCCCGGTTCGCCCAGATTATGTTTCTAGGTTTGTCGGCACCATACCCGTGCTCGTGGGTTTCACCGAAGTGGTAAACGTCTGAGACCTGCATCACTCCGGGCTTTCCTCCCACATTAAGCTGACACGCCGCGATATAACTGGAATACTGTTAAAAGCGCCGTAAAACCCAACTCACTCACTCCTAGTGAGGAGCGAACACATTAACCGCTTGGCTAACGCACCAACGCCTCATTATTGAAACGTGTCCCCTTTCATCGTTACATAAAAATATTCATATCCAAGCAAACAACACACACTAAGTGAAGGTTTGGTGTCACTAGTATTGATCAATTGCATATGTTTGGGGGTCCGTAGAAATTCCAGCGTCTGACAGAATAAGTAGATGTAGATAACATACCTTAGCATGCTAATAAAACGTCAATACCAGAGAATAACCAGTCTCGATTAACCACCGCAACAAAAATTCCATTGGAACTAAAAGGCAAAATGGCGGTTAAAAATATTTGAATGGATCACTGAAAATCAGTGACGTCACAGGTGTTCACGGAAATGGAAAGCATGTCTTGCCCAACAGGGGATAACCGCTTCTCAAACAATTTGCAAAAAGTGTAAAGACGTAAAGACGCCGCAAAGTAGTTCTCCTGGCATGCGGCCTGTAAACAAACCAGATGATCAAGTGATGGACACGAAAATTCAGTGACGCATTTACTGATATTGAAGATAAATTTGAACATATATTCAAAGTTTATCTTCAAAATCAGTGAATGCGTCATTGAATTTTTGTGTCCATCACTTGATTTTCGGTATTTGAACACATTGTCAAAAAGGAGTCACGGGTGGCCAAGTCGTCTGAGGCGCCGCGATTCTGAGTTGCGTCCCTTGGGCACCCCAGAAACCTATGATTTTGGGTTCGAATCCCGGTTCGCCCCGATTATGTTTCTAGGTTTGTTTCCACCATACCCGTGCCCGTGGGTTTCACCGAAGTGGTAAACGTCTGGACCTGCATCACTTCAGGCTTTCCTCCCACATTAAGCTGACATGCCGTGATATAACTGGAATACTGTTAAAAGCGGCGTTAAATCCAACTCACTCACATTGCCAAAGAGATAGCGATCATTGATTGCTGGAATTGAACAAGTGTTGACTGAATTCAGCTTGATTCCTGAGGTTTCTGTAGCCGGGCGTGTTAAAACGCCAACAGGAGACCAGCCTTTAGTTTGTCATTGCCTCATATTTGTCGGAACATGGAACCTTATTGACATAAGATGACGAAGCGTAGTGCATGAATTGCACGTCAAATAATTTCGCTTTAGTTTTGATGTTTACCTAGGATAATGTGTCAGAATCTAAACTGCTCCTGAAACTGCTTTATTCAAGCTTATGACAAAGTCGGAATTATACAATGGACTTTCAGTAGGGATTTCGTTTGATTCTGGAAAGGATGTTGTCGCTTTTATTCACATATAATATGAAAGTAACATCGTATAAAAATATCTCATACCGCTTTATACCCCATTTGGCGCAGCGTAACAATCAAATAAAAGATGTCGACGTAATATAACTGACACATTGCGTAAACCGCCAACTCGCAAACACACCTAAATCAATTATATAATTTGTTCCGGACGCTCTTGGCTGTTGGCGAGGACATGTGACACTAAGTTAATTAAATTGTTTCTGTCAAGCGGACAAAAGCTGTAATTGTCCTTGTAATTGTTGGGAAAGAACAACGTTAACACTGTGTAATTAATTATCATGCGCTTTAAACCAATGGGAAATACGTTGTGTTGCTAGGATTGATAAGGTGATCAATCACATCGCTCTGGTACTAAACATGTAATTGTCAGACGAAGTGCTTTTAAAAAAAACGATTCCACGAGTGTACACATGATAACCCCTCAAGTGACAGGTCATTTTCCCTTTGAATAAGTCCTCTCATAAATTATGTTTGCATTTATCAGCGTCCAATACGGTTCTTGTATTAAAGCAATGACATGAAACCTAAATCCATCCTAATCATGCCTAAGTGGCAGGGGTTAAATTGACGTTGTCCCTGGCTTGGCAGAGCAAGCATTCTGGAGTCGTGTCATCGGAAATGAAGTCCATCATTTTGATTAATTTTGTCACCTCGAGAGCAACCAGCACTTCCACTGGTGACTATCGATAAAAGTTCCCTATGAGATATAGAAGCAGGGACTATGTTATTGTATTGACAGAAGCTGAGCTAGTTTGAAAGTAAACACACGGGAACAGTTAGTCAATAGAATGATTGCTACATGCGATTTTGCGTCCCCCTGAAAATGATTTGCCAATTATATGAATTGAAGCACTCAATTAAGTCCAACCGATACAATTAAGATGATCGATTAGTACATATTTGTGTTGCAATGACGTCGAACAAAACCAAGTGTTTACCTAAACGATTATTTTAATGTCCTCTGCGCCTTTCAGCAATCGACCCGTGAAGATCCGGGGTGGAAAAGGTCTTCAGCGACCCATGTTTGCCGTATAAGTTGACTATGCTTGTCGTAAAAGGCGACTAACGGGATCGGGTGGTCAGGCTCACTGACTTGGTAAATGCATGCCATCGATCCCAATTGCGTGAATCGATGCTCATGATGTCAATCGCTTGATTGTCTGGTCCACACTCGATTATTTCAGACCGCCGTCAAAGAGCTGGAATATTGCTGAGTGCGGCGTTAAAGAACAAAAAAACAAAAACAAATCAGAATAAACTTTCTATGAGCAGTACTTAAGTTACCAAACAATTGTCATTTCTCGTTCACCTGCACTCACAGAATAGGACTTGCCAAAGTTGCATCTGAAATATATATAATACATTGAGAAATATACGTGAATCATTACGCAACGAGTTGACAATTAGCTATGCCCCTCTGCGCTGAGACGGAACCCCGTCGCACAAATGGCCACGAGAGGGGTACGAGTCGCTATTCGGCTTGTCCCGGAATAACACGAGTTGGTCACGAATGATATCCGACATCACCACAGTGCCCTGGAGGTTTCTGAGGTAGAATTAGAAAGTGCTCAATGCGTGTCGCTATAATGTCATCGTACCTCGGGGGTTCAGATAGTTGTTGACGTTTTTAAACCGCTGCATTGTATGGTCCAGACTTGAATATTTACAGGTTGCATTGTTGCTGACTGGGGCGATAAAGAACACTCATTTACTTGCTGCGGGCAAAGTAAAACACTGCCAGAGAGGTCAATGAGATGGTACGTAGCGCGATATAGAGATAACTGCTGAAGACAGAGGGGTGGACAAATAACTAATCAATAATACATCTAGTTCAAAACGGTTTTGTCTTGTATTGAGATAATAGACCGTCTCCATGGTTTACTGGATAGTGTGTCTGTCCGGAGAGCGGAAAGTCGATGTTTTGATCTACTGGCCGTGACGTTTTAATATGGGACTTGTTACCCTACTCGTCCCAGCCCTTATCTCCTGAGTGTTAGGGGCGGTCGGTTAGCCTAGTGGTTAAAGCGTTCGCTCGTCACGCCGAAGACCCGGGTTCGATTCCCGACATGGGTACAATGTGTGAAGCCCATTTCTGGTGTCCCCCGCCGTGATATTGCTGGAATATTGCTAAAAAAAAGCGGCGTAAAACCACACTCACTCACACACTCACTGTTACCCTACCTTCGGCATTACGGGGATGAAACAAGGAAGGTTCGGAGTCTCATGATGGGGTATCCA